TTGAATTAAACCACTGCATGAGCTGTTTTCAATTTCTGATGTATTTGAATACTCTGGAAATGGCCAAGAGCGTTTGGAGTGGTATCGAAGCTGCATTTAAGGGGCACAAATAATGTTGGACATTGCATTTTTTTTGTAAAAATGTAATACATATGGGCTGCAAGGTGGCTCGGTGGTTGGCACCATCGCCTCGCAGCTAGAAGTGTAGCCCTGTGATTCAGCTGGGATAGACTCCAGCCCCCCTGCGACCCTAGTGGTGTATAGATAAAGGATGGATGTAATATATATATATATATATATACAGGAAGAAGAAAAGAACAGAAATAGTTCAAGTGTTTCATGAGCTATTGAATTTCCATTCAGAAGGAGCCTCTTGTTTGGCTAAAAAAAAAAGTTTTATAAATCAAAATTGATTGGATTAATGTTAACTGTAAATATATGCCTCTTTGAGTAAAATACAATAACTGCCAGCTGATTGAAGGAACTTCCCAGTGATTGATTGATTAAGCCAAACAATCAGATAGAGAGCCATTAATCATCTGTGATTAACTGTTGTGAACTGTTGTTTCTGCTTTGTTCAGTCTCAGGGGGACGTGATTAACGGCTCCTTTGTTGATCCCTGCAGGACTGTGTTTAAAATGAAGGCGGCTGATTCCTCTCATTCAGCATTTGGAACTTCAGGAGACAAACCAGCAGAAAGAAACGACAGCAACCAGGTAAAAAATAAATAAAATAAAATAAAAGTACTGTTAATGTGTATTTTTCAGTTAAACATGCATGTGTTTAGTCCCTTAATATGTAGTTTTGTTCCTGTTTGATTCACAGATTGACTCCTTGCAGATTGACTGTGTTCACACTGCCTATCATGGGTAACTCCACCGGCGTCATCACTTCTGCTCCCAAGAAACTGTCATGGTTTCGCCAGGAAGAGGACACGATCAAACTGGAGGACTTCCTGACACAAGGCGAAGAGGAGCTGTGGCGAGTGGAACGAAAGCAAACTCCTTCCGTGAAGAAGATCCACCTTCCTCGCCGCGTCCGCTACGTGGCCCTGACTGTCCAAGGGGGCGATTTCTACCCAAACAAAGATGTCATGCTGAACTCTGCCTTTGTTGGAGACCAGAGTCCCTCAGTTGCTGAATTCACTTCTCAATCGACATCACGAGACACATTCTCACTTTGAGGGGGGCTGCAAACAGGCCCTGTGAGGCCAACCGCAACACAGGAGGCAGTTTGTCTAACCGCAAAACACTTTTCTGAGAACAGGAAGAGAGAGCTCAATGTAAACTCGTCATAACTCGCATCCCTTAATCATGAAATGGAAGCAAAAGTGAAAATGTTTCCTTTTTGTTGCATCGGGTGGCAATAATCTGTTTGAGCTAAAGGTCGTTTTCAAAGTTTCAGTTTTATGTTTTGTTAAACTGAAGCTCTGATATCAGCAGCGTGAGCAGAAATCATACACGAGACTGCGTCATGTGATTTTTATTAACTTTGCACAGCGAGAGGGTAAAGGAAATCCTGTCTCAACATTTCTGCAGCTATGAGTCAGGCAGCTTGAGGTAGAGTAAGCGCCATTTTCCTTTAAGTGATAAAAAAAAGAAAGAGGATTTTCTCTTCATGAACTGAACCTTTTGGTATGTTTTTGTTACTGATGCTTTAGCACGTTGAGCACTTGCTGCTCAAGAATAATATGACTTCTATGACATGCATCTCACATCACTGTGTCATACAGCTGTCGAGGTGAAATCCTTTTTCTAAAGCAAATACGGTTTGTAACTAAGCAAGCTTGTTTACAAATCTGTGAAA